GATTTCTAATAACTCTGCACCAATTTACTTGTGTCTTCATCGCCTAATCTAGCAGTGAATGATTTGATTGCTGGGGATTTTGAATTTATTACTTTTTCAACGAAATTATGGGGTGTATAGTGGTAGTTAAATTTAATATTTTCTACTTTACTACAACAATTTGCTAAAATACCATCCAATTTCTCTAAATTCATATCCATATCACTAGTTCTTGTTGATATTGAGATTTTCTTTGCATCTGGATATCTTGATAAAAATTTAAAAGAAAATTCAAACTCATAGTATTCATCTTCATCTTCGACCAATTCTAATTCGGCAGCGTCTGAGCATGGGAGGTCTTCTAGGTCCCATAATAAATGTAAACCCCTGAATTCATAAAATTGGTCGCATGTTGGATTAATTTCCATAAAATTAATATGAACACTATTAAAAATAACTTTTTTTAATTGTCCACATTGTTCTAAAAGTTCACTCTTGATCTTTTTAAGGCTTTTATTTGAATAACCTTTAGAAATGTAATGAAAACTTTCCAACTCTTTATACTTTATTAAAAATAGTTCATAGTTGTTATTTTCTTTTGATTTCTTTATTGACTTTATTAGATCATTTGGATCAAGTTTGATGATATGTTTATGAGTTATTAAATTTTGAATGATTTGAAATGATTGCTTTGAAATTAAACTTAGTTCTAATATTCTACTATAAGAATTATTATATGATAGATATGGTAATATTTCATTAAAAATTAATGAATTTAATTTTGTATTTATTTCCATAGTACTTTATAGTTTATTAAAAAAATATATTTATGTGGGTTTGTGAAAATGAAAATTAAAAATTAAAAAAAATTAAAAAAAAAAAAAAAAAAAAAAAAACGATAAATTAAAAAAAAAAAAAAAAATGGAGGTAAATATAAAATGTATAATTGCTTTAATGAATTTTTTTACAATTTAAATAAGTTTGATTTATTTACTTTAAATTTCTTTTTTCTTTTTAATAATAAAAAATAATTATAATAACTTTGGAACCAAAAAATTATTTTCAAAATAAAATTTTTATTTTATTTAATTTTATTTAATTTTTTTTATAATTTTAAATTAATTTAAAACCAGAGATCAAATATTCAAATATTAAATTTTAGGTTAAGGTAGGTTAATCTATAATATTATATATCAATTAATGGTGTATGTTATTTTTTTTTTTTTTAAAAGCGAAGATTTTTCTATCAATAAATTTATTGAGTGATGACCTAGTTCATTACAGTTTAAATTACCCAACATGTGAAATCACATGGAAGAAAAATTAATGGGTAAAAATATATGCGCATGCTGGGAATCGAACCCAGTGGCACGGATGCGAACTAATTAGTTTTAAGTAATTCTCAGCTTAAAAAGACTAGTGAAATAGCCATACAAGTCAAAAATTCGTTGTTAGCAATTAATACATAAAAGACTCTATTAAGATTGATTGCTCATTCCTAATAATTTAAAAAATAATAGAATCAGAAGATTTTTATTTAAAATTTTATTATTTTTTTTTTTTGTTTTTTGCTTCCACTTAAATTTTAATGACCCAAATCATAAAAGATAATCTAAAATAAATAAAAAATAAATAGTTTCTATTGTATTATAAAATTAAAAACTAAAATAAAAGTTTTTTTTTTTTTTATTGTTTTATTTTTTTTTTTAAATTATTTTTTTTAAATAATTATTGATTGGATTTGAGGTGAAGTTTTAATGGTGAAGTATTAATATTTATATTAGTGTGGAAGAATCATTTTTTAAATAATGAAGAGGTGTTTTCTGAATTTAATTTTCTTCCAGTGGCATTAAAATAATTTTTTGTTGGCAATGACTAAAGAGTTTGATGATTGCTTAAATGGAGAGCTTGATAAAATCAATGACTCGTCTTTAAAGCTATTATTTAGTTAAAATTTGTTGATTGCTTTGAGCAGTGGTACTTGAACTATAGCCTGGATATCTTCTGAATTATTCAATGGGATGATTGGTGAACTATTATTTATGATTGGTGAACTATTATTTGTAAAGTTGATTTTTGTTGTTTGCTTATCATCAAGATCGACTTTATCAACAGAAGCAAGAGTATTCGATAACCTTTGGGGTGAGATATAATTGCTTTCTATTGTTTTAGTATTTGAACCAATTGATGATAAATTGTTTTTTCCGTCTGTAGAATGATCGATTTTAAGTTTGAATCATCCATTTTTATATTTTTATTTTTGTTTTTAATTTACAAGTTCTCTACTCTAGAAGATGGTTTGGTAAGTGAAGTTGGTAGAACTGCAGAAATATACTTATATCTCCAAGCTGGTAATGGAGGTAAATGTGGTGGAGGTACCAATGGTGAAGTGTTGTTATTTTTATTATATGGATAGGATGGTGTTGAAGTATTTGATGATGATGATGATGATGATAGATAACTAGTTGTGGATTTATTTGAATTATTAGATTTTACTTGAGCACTACTACTATTACTACTACCACATCTAAAAAATCTTAAAATACGAGCACCCAACTTTTCAGATTTTTTTGATTTAACTCCTTCGAGGTCATTTTTTATACCTTCATTGTGTAATGTTTGGTTTTGATTATTGATTGGTAATTTGGATTGATTCTCTTGATTAATTGAAATATTATTTTCTAAACCAAAAATATGATGGCCTCTGAGGGAGTTTAATTTTAAGCTTTCAATTTCTGAATTGAGTTGAGTATTTTCATTATCTAATTGAATTTTTAATGTGGTCATTTGGTCAAGTTTTGTTTGGATTACTTTTTTCTCTTCATCATTTCCACCTGGTTTATTGGATCCTTTCAAACGATCAGTGAGTATAGCATTACGAGCTTGATATTCCTCTAAAATAAATTCTAAATCAATAACCTCTTTACATTTATTTTCGAGATCTCTTAAGAGGCATGCTTTGAGGGTACTATAATTTCTTTGGCTTTCTAATAATTTATTTATTTCTAAATCTTTCTCCATTTCTAAATTCTCCTTTGTATTTATATAACATTTAAATTCATGTTCTATCTCTTTGATTCTCTCTTTGAGTGCTTGATTTTCGGCTTCTAAAGCTTTTTGGTATATTTGAGCTGTGGTATTTGCTCTATTACCACTAATATCTTCTAAAGCAATCAAAGAGATGCTTGGTGAGCTATTATTTGTAGTGTTGGTTGTTGTTGTTTTTTTATCACCAAGCTCGACTTTATTAATGGAGGTAAGAGTATTATTATCTTCATTATTTAAATTTACCTCTAACTCTTGTGGTAAGGATAAAACGGATGAATCCTATTATAAAAATGGTATATATTAGTATTTAAATAATTAATTTTTTTTATTACTATTGTTACGTACAGATACTAAGGATGATACTAAAAAGGTTTCATCAGGAAGTAACTCTTTTTTAAGTACACAATCATGGACAAATTCTTTAACCAAAATTGGGATGCCCAAAGAAAGAGCTTGTTCAACTTTTTGGGTCTTCTCTAAATAGCCTTCTTTTGTGGAGATTAAATGTGTGGCCTTTAATAAAAATTAGTATTATTTTTAAATTTTAATATAAAATAAACAAGTTATATAATTACCTTTGTGCATGAGTAGCAGCTTTTGCCTCCATTCTTTTTAATAATTTTTATTAACTCGGTTTTTCTTTTGAGATTAATGGTTTTATCGAAAACAAAAGCCAAATTTTCGAAAATATTTGAATTTAAATGATCTTCATCTTGATTATTATTATTATTATTATTATTATTATTATTTTTGGAGTTGAGCATTTTTTATTGTATACTATTAAAATAGAAAAGATATTTAAAAGGAAATATAGGAATATTTAAATGATAAAGGGTTATAAAAAATATAAGCTGTAAAAAAATATTATGTGATTATAATTTTGAAAGCTATTATTTTTTTATGAATTAAAAAAAAAAAACTTTTTTGTTGTTAATTTTCTTTAAATAAAAAAATAAATAAAATATAATTTTTAAAAAAAAAAAATGTAGAACTGTTTTAAAATATTTTTTAGAAATAATAATTTTTTTTTAAATTATTAAGTTGTATTTCATTTTTATATTTATTTAAAATTGAACACTTTAATTAAATCTAATATTTTAAAAAATTTTTTTTTAAATTCTCTAAAGAATGATATATTATACACCAAAGTAACTTTTCCATTTCTAAAAAGTATCAATAAAAAAAAATAAAAAAAATAAAAAAAAATAAGTTGTAATAATAAAAATAAATAAATAATATAGATTTGATATTGTATTAAAAAATGTCTTAATGATGTTAAAGTTTTGATTAAAATAATTATATTACAATGAAAATTTTTATTAATTTTTTAATTTAAATAATTATTGATTATTTAAATTTTTTTTTTTTTATTATAAATTTAATTATTTTTGAATATATTAAAATAACTTATAATTTTAAATATGTATTATTAAAAAAATTTAAATCATCTTGTTGTTATAAGTTATTTCTTCATATGAATTATCTTTCACAAATTTACCAATGTATAAAAAAAATTTTATTATTCATTTCAATGAAAAACAAATTATAATAAAAAGATAAAAACTATTATAAAATGACAGTTATTAGTAAATATTAGTAAAACCATAAATATATTATAAAAGTATATAGATTATTATTAACATTTAATTTTTACTTTATTTTTATTATATTTTATAGAATCTATTTCATCAATGAATCCAGTTAACGGTGCCTCATCAATCCATGTTTTAATCCATGCAGTAGTGGTAACAGTAGCATTATCAATATTGATATCGATATTGGTCATCGTCATAGAAGATACTGTTAAATTTACTCTAAATAAATTATATTTATATTACCTTTAACTGATTCGAGAAAATATATTTATATTTTATCTGTGAAAAAAAAATAAAAAGAAAATAACGCTTATAAAAAAATTATATTTAATTTTATTTTATTTCTTTGTATTTTTAAATTATTTATTTATATTTTTTTATTTTTTTTATTTTAGTTTACTGAATTTATTAGTTCTGTTTTCGAAGATGGTTTGGTAAGTGAAATTGGTAGAACTGCATATATATATTTATATCTCCAAATAGTAATGGAGGTAAATGTGGTGGATGTGCCAATTGTGAGATGTTGTTATTTGATGATGGTGATTTTTTTTTTAAATAATAAGTTCCAAATTGATGATGAGCTATTTTTTGAATTTAATGTTTGGTTTGGTTTAATTCGAACACCAATGGCATTGTTATTATTGGCACTAACTAAAGAATTTGGTGATTAGCTATTTTAAATGATTAATTGCTAATTTAGATTGCTTCTCTTGATAAGTCTATATTATCTATATATTTATTTATTTATTTATTTATTTATCTTAAAATATTTAACTTTTCTTCCATTCTTTGTCTTATCTCCTCTTCGATATTTTCAATTTTAAATTTTAATTGTGTATTTACATTTCTAACTGTTTCATAATGAACCTTTTGAGTCGGTAATCTAATTTTCTATTAATTGTTTGATTTCTAAATCTTTTTCCATAAAGTCCCTTTTGCATTTCTATAACTTTCAAATTCATGTTCAGTCTCTTTGATTCTATCACCATTGATTTCTTCTGAAGTATTCAATGGGATGATTGGTGAACTATTAGCACCTGCATTTGAACTACCAACATTAGATTTTGATGAATATGATGCTACCACTTTTAATGGATTTCTGTTTTCTCTTCGCATTCATCAGTTTGCTTAGAAACCAATGCTGTTGGAACCCCTCTATCAGTACGGGAACTCAGTGAAACTTCTGATATACCAACTGAAGTATCATGACCAGTGTTGAAAGATTGTTTACTGAATTTATCTTGAAGAATTGTAATCTCTGTGATTATCAGATTGAAGACCTTCTAATTCTAATTGTTCTAAAAGTTCCAATAAAGAGATAAACTGCTAGCTGATGATGTTTGGGTGTGACTGTTATTTCTTAATGAGAACTGCCTTTGGTTTGGCACTATATTGATTTTTAACTATTAATTATTATAAAATGTTTTAATATTAGCTTTCTTAAAGGCTTCTAATAACTGAGGACTGATTATTGATATTTAAATTTATATTTGATTGATTTTTTGAATTATTTTATTGATTGCTAAAATCCTGTTTTGATGATGGTTCAGAACCTAATACTGAAAAGATTAAAATTATTATTAATTGGATGTACTATAGTTTACATTATTAAAATTATTTGTGTATTTGTTTGTTTGTTGTGATTGAAAAAAAAAATAAAAAAAAAAAAATAAAAAAAAAAATAAAAAAAAAAAATTATTTTTAGATTTTTAAAAATAAATTATTTTAAAAATTTAAAATGGCTATGATAACGAGTTGATATTTACTAAAAATTGGGGGTATATTTTTGAAAGAACCACAGACAACACCCAAAGACAGCTTATAATGAATATGAAATAAGAAAACAATTAAATCAGGTATTATTCCCCTACTGTGATAACGATAATTGGTAAAAACTGAAGATAATCATAATTTTTCAATCACTATTAAAAGCTTAACAAACACTAATATTTATTAACTCTAAAATAATAGAAATGATATTAAGTTTAATTAACAATTGAAAATTTTAATTTAGTTAATATTTATTGATAAAAGAGGTATTTTTTAATGAATTTGAATAAATTAATTAATATTATAAAAAAGATCCTATTCCGAGATATACAAAGTTAAATTACCAAGGATTGAAATGTACAAGAAAGAATTTATAAATAAAGATTACCTATCAGAGTTAATAAATTATTAAAAATAAATTTTTTTTAGTTTTTAAAAAAATAAATGTTAATTTTAAATGAATTTATTATTTTTTTAAAATATTAATAAGACAGAGTTTTTGACAATATCAACTCTTGAAATGTTGGCCCATTCTCTTAACAAGACACATTGTTCTATTCTATCCCACCCCAAACTTAATCGGTTGTCTGTAAATAACAACTTAGCACCAGAAAAGGTTCTTTCTTTTAACAAATGAAGAAGCAACTGAAAATAAATTGGAATATACAATACCTTTTTCTTTTCAATATATTATTGAATCTTTCTTTAATCTAAACTTTCTTTTAAATACTTTTGAATTTCCTTAAACTTCACTTCATCCTCAATTTTGTCAAATAAAAAAATTAAAAGTAAATAAAAAAATTAATTTAAAAAAATTAATTTAAAAAAATTAATTTTAAAATTTAAAATTTGAGGAATAGAAATTTTATCAATAATAGAAATTTATAGGGGCTATACTTAAATTAGTGCAATATGGAATATAAAGGGCTAAAAATATTTAATTCTATTGAATGAAATTCATTTGTTATAAATTATTATAAAAAATATTATAGACAATTGTTTTTTTGTTTAATTTTATTTTTTTTATTTTTTTTTTTGTTTTAATAATTTTATTTTATTTTAATTTAAAAAAAATAGTCTATAAAATTTTTTTTTTTTTTATTTATTAAAAATTATAGCTTTCACACACATAATTTTTCATTCATCAGCTCATTCATTTTTTTAATCGTTTACATTTAATAACAGTCATTCGTTTTTAAACACTTGTACATATTTTTTGTAAATAATTTATAAATATATTTATTTAAATTATTAATATATATAAATTTATAAAATAAAATGGATGATTTTATATATATATATATATATATATTTATTTTTTTTTGGTGCCATTGGTTTTTATTTTACATTTTTTTATTAAAATCAAATTCAACCAATGCATCAAAGCATGCGTCAAAGAATACATCAACGAATGCATCGACAAAGAAGAGAGTTGGGAAAACGACGACTACCAACACGATGACTTAGAGGATTTGGTCAATTCATTTGGAAGTCTTCAGCCAGCTCCATTAAGCGAAAAAGAAAAGGCCAATGATAAAATTTTCGAGGAATGTGGAAAATTACTAGAGGTTATCCATGATAAAAAAGCACTAAGTCGAAGCCTTTAAATAAAAGTAAGTAAATAAACACATTATCAAAAACAAATCTATTTAGAAATGGGATTAGTTGAATAAAAAAGGAAAATATATGAATAACATAAATTAATTTTTAGTATATTAGATAAAGCATATTACTCTTGCTAAAGTATTATGTAACCGATTTAGTAAAAACCATAAGTAGCCTTTTGGTTTCAAAAATAATTTACAAGGGGTGGTTAGAACCAGATGTTTCAGAAGAAACCTTCAAAGCAATTCAAGAAATCCTCATAAATCCAGATGATAGTTCCTAAAAACTCCTTAAAGTTCTTCAAATAATTAGAAAAAAAGAAATTAAATTGACATCACACACTCGGGGTTGTCTAAATAGATTCTTTGTTGTTTTTCAATTTTAATTTTTATATTTCAGCTTCAAAAATTACTAAAAGGAACTTCATGTGAACATAAACCAAACGAAAAAGAAATAAAAAAAAAGTTATTGTTATTTATTATAATTAAAAAGTTTTTCTTTTTTTTTTTTTTTTTTGATTATTTAAAAAATATATTCAAATATATATACTAAAAAATTATTTACAAATAAAAAAATAAAAAAAAACAAAGGATGATTATAGATTTATAAAGAATGAAAAATACAAACAAAAAAAAATATTTACAAAAAAAAAAAACAAATGAGTGAAAAACAAAAAAACAAATACAAATATATATTGAGAATAGTGAAGTGGCCAGGAGAAGACAGGACAAGATAGGAATAACTTGACTTGACTTGACTTGACTAGACTTGACTTGAGTTGAATGCACTGGAATCTATGAATGGTTGCGAAAAAAATTGACTTGTACTGAATTTAAATGATGTTATAGGCTAAAATTTATAATCAATTAAAAAAAAAAAATTATTTTATAAATTCAAAAATTTTTTAAAATATAATTTATTTAAATAATAATCAAAATTGACTATTTAATAAAAGTTAATTTTAAATGTATAAAAAATATATAATAGAAATGATATAAAGTTTAATTAACAATTGAAAATTTTAATTTAGTTATTATTTATTTATAAAAGAGGTATTCAAATTCATTAAAAAATAGCTATTTGAATAAATTAATTAATATTATAAAAAGATCCTATTCTGAGATATACAAAGTTAAATTACAAAGGATTGAAATGTACAAGAAAGAATTTATAAATAAAGATATCAATCAGAGTAAATAAATATTAATAATTTAATTTATTTTAGTTTTTAAAAAAATAAATGTAAATTTTAAAAATTAAATTATTTTTTTAATATGATTATTGTTTTTTAGAATATTCGACTTTTTCTTTTGGTTTTATATTGGTTGAGGTTTTTATTATTTACACAATGCTTTATATATGTGTCTTAATATTTTATTAAATTATTTTTTATATTTTTAAGTTGCTTTATATTTGGAATTATATGGATATCTACTATAATATTGAATGACAAATCCAACCCCAAGAATTACAAAAAATAAAGAAATAATTCTAATTATAACTTTTACAATATTCTATAGAAAATAATAAAACTGTTAGATTAGGTTTTTTTTAAAAAAAAAAAAATTATAATTTTATACATACAAAAAAAAGACACTACTTTTCGATTGGCTCTTGTTTTTCCAACAAGGAGGATCTCATAGTGAACCTAAATCAAAAGATCGAGCAATTATTTACTTTAATTGCTCGATCTTTTGATTCAGGTTCACTATGAGATCCTCCTTGTTGGAAAGCTTTATTCGTAATTCATTTGCAATAATAAATAATACATGACTTCTAGAAATATTCATATTTTTTTCTAAATAATAATAAATTTCTAAGATGCCTATTTTCGTTTTTCAATCCTTGAATATATTGTTTTAATTGATGATTTGATAACTCTACATTTACTTGTGGTTTGTTTTTAACTGACTGAGTACGTTCAGCAAAACTTAGAGATTGAGTTGTATCTCTAAGAACAGTTTCGTTATTTGAGCTTGGCAATTTAGTAAGATTGCTGTCTCTATATCTAACATGTTGTGATTTCTTTGATTTCTTTACCATATCTTCAATAACTCCGCCCAATACAAATAATGATTTATTAATTGATTTAGTTTCGTCTAATCTTGATCCAGTTGCACCAGTTTGTGATACACTCTCTGATCCTGCTAAATCTACAATATACAACGATGATAAGAATCTATCTTTATTTCCAAATCTTCTTTTAATATTGTCGCTATAAATAATACATGACTTCTAGAACTATTCATATTTTTTTCTAAATAATAATAAATAAAAAAGGTTAATAACTTTGATTTTTTTAATTTGAAAAATTTAAAAGTATTTCTGCTACATACTATTATCACCATAACTTTTATTTTTTTCGCCATTATGGATATAATATAAAAAATCTGAAAATGATTGAATTGGTGGTTGTGATGCATCTGGAGCATTAAATCCATTATCGCTCATTCTAATATCCAGCTCTGCCTTATCGTTAATCAAGTCATAAAGTTTCTCTCTATAAAGTTCGAGATATGATACTCTAACTGTAAATCTAACACGATCTGATGACAAATAGTTAACCCTGTTCAATAAATCTTTGATGAAACGTGGTGTGATACCATAGCCTTCCTGTTTTGTAAGTGGTAATTCATCGCCAATATCTTTACCAAACTGTGTATATGTTTTACCTGCTCCAGTTTGACCATATGCAATAATTCCAACATTAAATCCATTTAAAACATCTAAATTTCATTAAAGTAATAAATACAATAAACTATTAGTATACTATGTATGATTATAAAGTATTTTATTAACTATATGTATATAATTAACCTACCATCGACCAATGGTCTTGCGACTTCATTATAGAACGATTCTTGGGTAGTTGTTGGTTGAAAAACTTTTGAAAACCTATATGCTGTTGAATTTTGGGGTGATGTGATATGAATAGTACGACCATCCTCGCCTATTGTTAACTTTTTTTCTGATGATGATAAATTTTTTCTGATTGAATTTCTGGACGGAATCTGCAATAAACCATAATATTTTCTTCTCTTTCATTATTTAATGATGATGGTTTTAAAAATGGTGTTGGAGTTATTGGTATTACTGTTGGTGATGGGGTTGAATTTGATGATGATGATAAACTTGAAGATGATGTATTTAAATTTTGAACACTAGAAAATACGGAATTTTGATTAATTATATCCAAATTGTTTAGTTCCTTTTGATGTTTTGGTGTTGTTATTGTGGTGGTAGCATTTATATTACTATTATTAGAGATAGTGGTAGTGGTATACTGTGAAGGTGGTGGAGGAATTTTTGATTCTGTGGTTGAAATATTATTTTTTTTTATTTCTTTTATACTATTAGCCACTCTTTATAAAGAGTGTTTCCAGCTCAACCACGGGGAGGTTAGTATATTTGAGCCGACAGCTAACTATTATACCGCCATGCACAGTATAATAATAAGCCCTTAGTGAAAGTTTGGTAATCTCAGATTACAGAATCAAGCGGGCCTGGTACTTCACACTTGAATCTCCATACTTGATAGCCATTAATAAGGTATACTTTGACATTAATAAATAATTAATTATTATTTGTTTACTATTTATTTACTATTTCATTTATTTATTATTATGATTAATTTTTTTTTATTTTATACAAAAAATTTATTAAAAATATTGCTTTAGAAAAAAATAAAAATATGTAAATTTAAAAATGTGTTGTAAGATTACAAGGGGGGGTGCATTTTTTTAAAAAAAATTAAGAAATAAAAATTTATAGATCACTTTTTTTTTATATATTGTAAGAGCGAATCAAGTTTGTGCAAATTTGAAATAAAAAAAAACCAACTTGAACAGCTTTAAAAATATTTATAAAATTCAAATAATTTTTTTAACTTTTTCCCAATTTTTTTATTTTATTTTTATTTTTATTTTTATTTTTTTCAACTCACAAATAATTTTAATAATGTAAAATATAGCACTTCAAACCAAAAATAATAATAATTTTAACATTAGTGAAATATATTTAAAACCTTTCTATATTGAAAATAGACACAGATCCTCAAACATAATTTAAATTAACTTTTATTAATATTCAAAAGGCATATTTACCAATTAAACCATTCAATACCCCCAACAGTATCTGCTGTTGTCGATATCATGAATGAAAGATTTTTAATCAAAAATATAAATATTTAGCATATATTTACAAATGCACAGCGAACTTATTAAAAGAGATTTTATACTATTTACATTAAATTAATTTTGAATTTTTTTAATTTTTTTTTTTTTTTTTTAAATTTATCATCATTTATTGTAAGCACTATTATAATAATAATAGCAACATATATTAATAGTAATGATTAATTTTTTTTTTCAAAATGGAAAAACAATATATATTAAGTGAAATACAAAGACACATCAGTTAAGGTAAATAATTACACATGCTATTTCTAAAATTGTTTAATATATAATGTTATACTAATTAAAAATGATATACAATTACTAAATTACTCACGTAGACGTATCACCAATATAGTTACAAATAAAATAAGTGATTATTCAATGGAATTTATACTAAATGGTAACATGGTACTGTCATTCGTTTTATATTCTATAATCAAACTATAATAATAATCAATATAAAGTTGGATGTAAAATTAAATCATGTTCGATACTGTGGAAAAATTGGATTCTATTCAATCATAAAGTATGTACTACTATTATATATAAATACAAATTTATAAAGTGATTCGATTCGATTATTAATTTAAAGTTAACAGGTTTATAGAAATGATTTAAGAGTATCAAATAATAGAGAATCAAATAAAATGTTTATTATTCTAGAGAATTTTCCATGCATTGTAATGCAACTTCAAAACAGTTTGAATTTAAATTTATTGTTCCAAAGAACATTAAAACTGGTAATGTTAGTACAATTTCATAAGATTCTTTGGGAAGTAATAGTTATACAAAAGTTTTGCATTACCTTCTGCATATCAGTTAAGAGTTGCTTAATCAAAAAGTAAGTTTAAATAATTTATTTTTAAACATATATTTATATCATACCATACCTATTTACAAATAAAATAAATATATTAATTAATTTTTCATTTTATTTTTAGATATTGATTTTATTGGATCATTAGTTTCAGATTTAAAGATATTAAAATTATAAAATGAAAATAAAATATTGAATGCATTAGAAATTACAGATAGTTCAAATAGTTTTAAACAATGATATTTTTTAGTTCGTTGTACAATTGATACTACCGAAAGAAACATTACAATAGATACATCCAACATTCCCAACCGCAGCTACAACTACAATAAACCAATTCTACTTTAATATAATTTAAACATAAGATCATTGGGCTTTATGGTAAAAAGAAAATTATGGAATTTATTAGAAATTAAATTAAAAGTAAGTGGTAATAACATTTAGACTAATTGATTATTGTTATAAAGTAAACATATGTAATAACACTTTAAAATATTAATTATAATACAGGCAGATGAATATATTGAAAAAAGCTTTTTTAGAGATACAAGTTTAATTATTTTACTATACAGAAAAGAAAAAAGAACAGCTACACATGTTTGATTTAGTAGAATGTGCATACTATTTAGATAATATAGAAGCATTGGAGTATTTCCTATCAATGAATGTACCAACATTTTTACCAAACTAAACAATTAATAATAAAAGTTTTTCAATATCATCGATTAAATCATTAGAATTACTATTAAAATATCGAGTAAATATTATAGAACCATATAATATCAATATCAATAATATCAATAACAATAATAACACAACAGCTTCATAATCACCATCATCATTCAGTTTAAACAATAGTAATAATAATAATTATACAACAACAGTAGCATTAGCATTCAGTTTAAAAAATAGTTATAGTAACAATAATACAACAACAGCAGCACCAGAACCTACAACATTCATTTTAAAAAATAGTAATAGTAACTATAATTTAAATAGTAGTATTAGTGAATATAGCAATCTAAATAATAACAGTACCAGTTTAGCCCGAAGCGCAAGTTGTAGTAGTATAAGCAGTTGTAATAGTAATGATATCAATGGGAGTAGCAGTAGTAGCGGTTGCAACAATAAAAACAGTAATAGCTTTTTAATTAATAATGGTAATATAACACTTCCACCACCATCATATAGAAATTTAAATAAAGAAAAATTTAATTAAAGAGGAATTTAAATCGCCACCATTATATACTACTACATTTAAAAACATTAAATATCGGTAATATTCAAGAGACATTAGATAAGTTTCATTCAAACAGAGCGGACCACCCAAAGATTACCTATGAAGTTATAAAGAAATGTCTCAAGTATTCAAATATTAAAGATATAGAAAAACTATTTAGAGCAATCAGTACATATTCTGCAGGTATACCATTCAATAAACTCTCAATCAGTTTTATATGGAAGAAAGGATGTATATAGTTTAGTAATCAAATATGCCCTGATTTTTCGATCCACTATCATATAGCCAATCCATAAGACATTTAATTGTTTTAGGGTAAAAATTTATTTCGGCTCTTTATCTATTCTTTCTTTTTCTTTCTCTGTTTATTTTCTCGTCATATTTACACCGATCATTAATAATAAAACTTTTACTACAACATATCACTATAATTATAAACAATCAAATTTTAATTAAAAAAAATAGTAATATGTCATTCAGTTACAGAAAGAATAGATAAAGAACGTATTGAAAAAGAAATAAACTATAATTTTAAATAAATAATTTTTTTATTTATTTTTTTAAATTAAACTAATATGCAACAAAATATGCAAATGCAACAACCACAGTACAATGATATTATTCCACCACAATTGAAAAATAACAAAAAAAAAAAAATTATATATGTTACTATTTCATTCTATTAATTATTTTTATTTTATCTTTATCTTTATTTTTATTTTTATTTTTTTATATATACGGAACAAAAAATACTATTATATTATTCAACTATTGATTCAATATATTTTATAAATCTACTTTGGTAATCTTTTGGGTTAATTGCTGATATTTGAGCCTAACAAAGAAAAAAAAAAGATGATATTAGTATTGAGACACCTTATTAAAAAAAAAAAATTAAATTTAATATTAAACTTACTCTATCAAATAACATTCCTTTTAAAGCATTTTCACCACGCTTTTTTAAATTATAAGTTGTTAAAATATCAATTAAACCTAAATAATAAACTATATCTCCATCACTTTCTTCTGTATTCGATCCATAAATTATATTTGAAGTTGATAATGGTGGTGGTTGTGGAGGGGTATGAGTACTTTCAACAATACCATTAAAATCCTTTTTGAAATAGGATATATCCTTTTTCTCAAGTGACTTTGGACCTTGAGATTCTTTAAGAGTTTGAATTGATTTCTTGTCACTTAAATGTAAACCAACCAATAAACTATAATCACATATACCATGGCTGCACATCCATTCAGAGTCGATTGATAACTGTTGTATAAATACTTTTTTTAATTTACCCAAATGAATCTTTCTTTTTAAATTTAAATCTTTGAATGTTAAATCCTGAGTTTGAATATTAATACTATTATCTACACCATTTATTTGACTGCTATTATAGCAACTACTATTACTACCAATACTTGTATTCAAACTATCTGTACCGTTTAGATGGTGATGCTGTTGCTGTTCCTTAGCTAATTGTTGCTGAAATTGATTAACATCAACATATCTACCTATTGTTGAACCTTTTAAATCATATTTTTCTTTAATTTCCAACTTTTGTTCAGAATAGAAAAGATTGGCCATTACAACGAATATGATATCTCTATGGGCACTACTATAATAGGAAGCACCACTTAATTTTAAACGATATACTCCCATGAATCTTGGAAGCAAAGAATTTGGATATTTTTTAATGTGTTGATAATATGATGGAAATAATTTAGTGAATGTGTTATACTCGCTTGATGGAATTGTTTTTATAAAGTATTTACTGTCCTCTGATTTATAGAAAAAACTACCACTTCTACCCACAGTTTGAACCTCTAAAAACTTTACAATATCAGATATCTCTGGGCTGCCAATTGATTTGGTTCTAAGGAAATCTTTGTCAACATTATAATATTTTCTTATTTCTTTAAAAACCTTTGGTGAGAATATTGTAAACTGCCAATTATCTGATAATGAAGATGTTAATGATGCTGTAGATGATTTATTTGTAGTTACTGCTGGTGAGGTTATAGTTGTTATTTTTAATGAATCTGTTGTTGTTGTTACAGTTGCTGATGAACTTTCAGAAGTGGATACTGGTTGGTGTGGAACTTGTAGATGATGGAATTGATTTATAATCTGTTCTTCTAGATCTACGTCTGAATCAATTTTGATTTCAATATTGGTTGCTTGATTAAACTCTTCATTTGAAAAATCACTAATAATACAAGCCCCGTCTTTTTGATTTGTTGGTGTTTCTCCAATACTATTTTTATTATTTATATTTACATTATTTACATTTAAATTATTGCTATTATTATTACTATTATTATTTGGTCCATTGATAGCCTTTGAGTCAATATCACTTTCAAATAATTTTTTAAAACCAATAGTTAATAAATTAATATACTCTTGAGTTTCTTGATCTTGTACTAATTTTTTAGAATGATTTACACTAGCTGATGGTCTATAAAGGTTTTCTTCCATAACTTTTTTAGAATACTTTAAAACATTAAATGGATTAACGAATCTATATGATGATGATGAGGATGGTGTTGATGAATTATTTGGTTGTTGTGGTGATGTGGATGGAGGTGCATTATTTAATAACTTTGGTTCTAATGATACCGATGGTGGCTTAGTTGGTTGAAGATCTAACCATCTATTTGAATTGACCAAAGGTAAGTCAATGTCTTTTGGCTTTATCTCATCAATACCAATTTGTGGAGCTGGATCATTTTTAATTTGTGGTTGCTGTAGTTGTTGTGTCTGTTGTGGTTTTTCTGGTTGTTTTGGTTGTTGTGTTATGATTTGTTGGAGCTTTTGGAGTTGCTCCTGTTGTTGGAGATGTTGGCGTTGTTGGATTTTTAGGAGTTTTTGGAGTTTTTGGATTTGTTTTCTTTGTTTTTGTCGATGGTATTTTTGGTATTTTTGGTTTTGTTCGATGTGTTTGAGTTGCAACTTTTGGTTTTGTTGGATGTGTTTGAGTTGAAGTTGCTGATGTTGGTTTTGGTGGATAAGTTGGAGATGGGATACCTGACTCTCCCAGTCGACGTTTACATTGGTTTTGGTGTCTTTGAAGCTACCAATATAAAATGATAAAACCAAACTGATGATAAAACCAACAAAAAATAAAAAAACACACATAAATAAAAAATCATACATTTTTATTTACAATTGTTATACAAATAAAATAAAATACCAAGATAAAATATAAAACTAAATAACAAAAAATTGATTAAAACGAATACAAAAAAGATATATACAAAAAAAGATAAATACAAAAAAAAGTTATATATAAAAAAAAAAAATATTTACAAAAAAAGATTTATAAAAAAAAAAAATATTTACAAAAAAAAGATATATACAAAAAATAAGATAAACAAAAAAAAGATATATATATAAAAAAAGATATGTACAAAAAAAAGATTATTTACAAAAAAACAAAAAAAAAAATAAAATGGAAATTTATACAAACAAAAAAGATAAATATTATTTACAAAAAAAATGGAAATATTTACAAGTGAAAAACGAATGATTATTATTATATGTGAGTTATTGTAAATAAAGTTGATGAATGAAAAATTATATGTGTGGTATGAAAACTAAAATTTTTAATAAATAAAAAAAAAAATTTTTTTAAAATACTATTTTTTAAAAAATTAAAAAATTATAAACAATAAAAAAAAAAAATAAATAAATAAAATAAAACAAAAAAACAATTCTCTATTAAAGAGTGAGTTTTCTTAATAATCTATTATTATATATATTATATGAATTTCATTTGATATATTAGTTTCAACCTTATTTTATTTTTTTAAAATTTAGATTTATAATATTTATTTAACTTCATCTGGAAGTGTCTCATTCTCTGATAATGAATCAGTTTGGTTCGGTAATAGCTTAGGTGGTGGCAGTTCATGTGGTTTCAATCCATGTTTTAATCCATGAAGTGGTGGTAACACTAACATTATCAATATTGATATTGATATTGGTCATCGTAGTAGAAGATGCTGTTAAATTTACTCTAAAAATAAATTATATAACCTCAAACTGATTCGAGTAAATATATTTATATTTTATCTGTGAAAAAAAAAATAAAAAAAAAATAACGTACATAAATATAATTTTATTTAATTTTATTTTCTTTGTATTTTTAAATTGATTCCATCATCATATTTATCGAAATTGGGTAAATTAATGATGGTCAAACCATTTATTTTTTCCTTTTATTTTTAAATCTAATTTAATTTTATATCTAATTTTAATTTATATTATTATTTATATTATTTTATTTTTTTTATTTGGTGATTGATATTTTAAATGATTAATTGCTAATTTAGATTGCTTCTCTTGATTAGTCTATATTATCTATTTATTTATCTATATATTTATTTATTTATTTATTTATTTATCTTAAAATATTTAACTTTTCTTCCATTCTTTGTCTTATCTCCTCTTCGATATTTTCAATTTTAAATTTTAATTGTGTATTTACATTTCTAACTGTTTCCAAATGAACCTTTTGAGTCAGTAATCTCTAATTTTCACAAACAATTAATTGTTTCTAATAATCTTTTTCCATTGCTAGCTCTCTTTTGCAATTCTATAACTTTCAAATTCATGTTCAGTCTCTCTGATCCTATCACCATTGATTTCTTATGAAGTATTAAATGCGATGATTGGTGAACTATTACCACCTGCATTTGAAATACCAACATTAGACTTTGATGAATTTGATGCTGCCGCTTTTAGTGGGTTTATTTGTTCTGTTTTCTCTTCGCATTCATAAGTTTGCTAAAAAACCAATGCTGATGGATCCCTATACCAACTGAAGTATCATGACCAGTGTTGAAAGATTGTTTGCTGAATTTATCTTGAAGAGTTGTAATCTCTTATTTAATACTGTGATTTTCGGATTGAAGACCTTCTAATTCTAATTGTTCTAAAAGTTCTCTTCTTTTTAAATAATTGCTTTTCTAATGAAATGTATATTATTTTTAATACTTGATCGTTTCCCTATTAAAGAATGTTATTTCAATTTTTTAATACTTGATCTTTTTCCAGATTATGAATCAGATATCTTTTTATTAAAGAATGTTATTTCAATTTTGTTTTCAGGTAGTCTTAGTGCACTACGTTTATATGAGTATTGCCTTGGTCTGATCTGCTGATGAGTCTGAAGAATCTTTCCAGTCTGAAGAGTTACCTGCTACTATTATACCTGTTGATATGCTAGTTGATCCACTTGTTGATGTGCCACCTGTACCACTTGTGCTACCTTCACCACCCACAGTAGCACAACCTGCAGCACCGGCAGCGATGGTCCTGAAAAATGTGAGGCGTTTTATTAATTATATGATAATAAGTCGAGTTTGGGTGTGACTGTTATTTATTAATGAGAACTGCCTTTGGTTTGACACTATATTGATTTTTAACTATTAATTTTTATAAAATGTTTTAATATTAGCTTTCTTAAAGGTTTCTAATAACTGAGGACTGATTATTGATTTACTGAGTTAAAAAAATGGTGAGAGATGCCAGTAGAAGGATGAAGCATAGTACTATATGAGAATAAAGCAATACCAATTAACTGTGGTGGATCATTTGTATTGTCTTCTTTACTATAACATCTAGGCACTTGTGAATTAGGATGAATTAAACTTTTCTGTTAAACCATATGTTTATGTATGGCAAGCGAAAGTTGGAGTTACTTTAAAGAATTTGTTTATTGAAACGACGACTTCATTTATGAAACTTGAACCTCTATCAGATACTAAATTTTTTGGGGGTCATATTTTAAATATATTTGATAAGCTAAAACCATTGGACTGTTTCACAATTTGAGCAATATTAACGAATTGAAGTTTACCCTTATCTAAACTATTTGTGTCTATCACTGTTGCTTGGGCCAAGGCAAATATATTGAAATTCATATAAATGGTTGATAAGATTGAATATCTTCATTAGTGTTTAGTATTTAGTTGGATCTAAGTTTAATCTTTTTTTTGCCAATGTTTTTTTTATACATGATAACCGTGCACTAGCGTCTATAAGAGCTGAACGGTACATCCATAACACTTTTGAATTTACATGAACTTGTAATTGATTTGAATTTTGCTTTATCTGATTTACTCGAGATTGAAAGACTTTGAAAGAATTTGAGTTTCTGCGACTTTGTGACTTTTTATGATAGTTATTGATATTGGTTTTGAGATTATAATATAGAA